AGCTTATATTCTTGATAAACCGAAAATTCGCTACGAATCTTTATTCTTTTCATATCGCTTGTCATGACCCTTGAGTTCCTAAAACGAACACATTGTTTTGTCAAAATAAGGTGCTAGGAAACTACACCTCAAAGCTGCATGAAGCCCTATGAGATAAATCACCGAATTAACTGTCCTGTTTTACTCAGGGACATGCCGAAAAAAGAAAAGCACCCAAGAGTGCTGGGAACCGGAAACTGATAATTCAATCCATCCGCGACTTTCAAACAGTGGGAGACTCTTCGTTGACGGGTATTTTATGGTCCGACGTTTCATGTGATGAGAGCATTTTATGGTAATCAAGGTCATTAATTTGCGTAACACGGGGGAACTTCAATCCAGCGGTTTAGTGAGGCCTTTTATGAAATTGCATAAGATTGCATTGCATAAGTGCGTAAGTTTGGCCGTGAGGTAGCTGTGTACGCACAGGGAGCCCACACAATCTGTTTGTGTAGCCGATTGTTATTTTACAGTAAATGTACTGGATTTACCGTTTGCTTCACCTATAGCGATATATCGCTAACTATGTATATAAATCAATAATCTATTATATGAAACAGTCAACGGCGAACTCAAATTCATTCAAAATCGCTCAAAAAACCGCTTTTGAGGTAAAAGGACGACTATATTGATTTATATACATAGTTAGCGATATATCGCTATAGGTGAAGCAAACGGTAAATCCAGTATATTTACTATAAAATAACAATCGGCTACACAAACAGATTATGTGGGTCCCCTGTGGTGTACGTACCCTGGGTGCCAGAGGCTTTTCTAGCGCGGTTTCCGGTTTCTGTCAAGTCTTTATAGGAACACCCCCCATCCCGCCGCACGCGAGAAAAACCTCTGGTACCCAGGGTACTGTGTACGAAGTTGAGAGTGCAAGTTAAAACGAATCACAAAATTGCAAAGGTGATTGTGTTTTGGATGATGACAAAGCTACAGACAATAACAAGACTAGACTACGAGTAGTCCCCATTTTTCCTTCACGCCCGCTCCCGTTTCGCTCACTCTACTATCCCTGAGGAAAAATGGGGGACTACTCGTAGTCCATAACAAGACCGATGGGTTTAGGAACAGAAAAGAAGGCATCTTGCGTCATACAGACTCCAAAAGACTGGGGATAATAGAAAGAGTGTTTAGGGAACCAGCTTTGTAACAGAAACAGTAAATGAGGTAAATAGTAATGTCTTCTTCTATGCCGTACAAACACAGGTACTCCAAGCTCTAGAGTGAGAATCGTTGTTGCGTAACAGAAATATTATAAGGGTATGTATGGGGATTTAAGCGATCGTTATTTAGGGGTCAAAAATAGTAATAAAAATACAAAGCATCGTCGACGCGATGGAAGAGAATCGTTGTTTTGGCGAGCTCGGCGAGCTGATATTCGCGCTCTGCTGTCGCTTTTGTCCAATAAAGAAAAGGAGTAGTTAGAGGAGGATTGTGACTTGCCTTGGGCACAGGGTCCAGAGGAGTTTCGTGTGAATAAATGAATTACTTACCTTGAAAAATGTCTATACCTGTCGCTTAGCACGATTAATTAGCCCAATGGGATCTTTATAAATCTACTGTAAACGATTTCTTCGCTTCTTATCTGACCCAGATCGACTTTTGAAAATCAATAACCGCAAGCCATATCCTCGCTGGCGCACGGCACGTCGCCCGAAGGGTGACCGAAGGCCGTCGCCCGGAGGGCGACCGAGGCACCTAGTGCCGAATCAAAAGAAAGGACGTATTTTATACTGTAAGCCGATCTTGCGAGCCCTCAGTCTCTTGGTTTGGGGTCTATAGAATGTGTAACGAAACCGTAACGCGATCAAAATAACCCATTTTTTCAGAGGTTTTCGACGGGTTTGATGTTCTAACGACAAACACATCTCCTCTGGACCCTGTGCCTTGGGTAAAATCTGGAGGCGATTGAAGTATTTGGAGGGAATTTACACATGGTCCAGAGGAGTTTCGTGTGAATAAATGAATTACTTATTTCAAGTCTCACCTTGAAAAATGTCTGAACCTGTCGCTTAGCACGATTAATTAGCCCAATGGGATCTTAATGAATCTACTGTAAACGATTTCTTCGCTTCTGATCTGACCAGATCGACTTTGTTGTTCGCCATTTTGAAAATCAATAACCGCAAGCCGTATCCTCGCTGGCGCACGGAACGTCGCCCGAAGGGTGACCGAAGGCTGTCGCCCGAAGTGCGACCGAGGTACGAAGTGCCGAGTAAAAGCCGATCTTGCGAACCCTCAGTCTCTTGGTTTGCGGTCGATAGAATGTGTAACGAAACTGTAAACGCGATCAAAATAACCCATTTTTTCAGAGGTTTTCGACGGGTTTTGATGTTCTAACAACAAACACATCTCCTCTGCATCCTGTGGAATTTACGGCTGATTTCCCTCAGATCTAAAACTCTTTGGAATCGCCCTAAAACGGCCAAAAATGCTAAGAAAACAGCATAAATTTTGACAAGGACACAAGGAGAGAAATTCTGATGTATCCTTATCGTCCTTATTACATTTTGAACTCTTATACTATTTCTTTTACGCTGTGGCTATATGGCCGGTTACCGGTCAAGGTGTTAAAAACACGAAGTGACCGGCAGTCCCATATTCTCGGTAAATTTCACAAAATCGAAAGATTCTAGCTAATCTACTATCGTATGTCGACTAAGACAAGTCCAGCGATCCTGAAATGCCTTATAGATCTCAAGTCTAGTGTTTGGTTTACGCTGGGCTCAGAAGACTAAACCGTGTTTTGTGACACTTAAATAGTACTTTTTTCAGCTCGTTCTGCCGGTCAAGGTTTTCAAAACACTAAATGGCCGGCAGCTAGTCGTATATTCTCAGTAAATTTCACAAAATCGAAAGATTCTAGGTAATCTAAACTATCATATGTCGATTAAGACAAGTCAAGCGATCCTGAAATGCTTTATAGATCTCAAGTCTAGTGTTTTCCAGAAGCAGTAGACCCAACTAATTCGTGGAGACTTTTCCCGCCGGTTTTCCGCGGAGGCCGTTATGACGTCAAACGTCGCCTGTAACGCCATGCTTTTGATAGGAAAAAAAGTAACGAACATCCAAAGACTCGAGACCAACAAAAACATGATGTAGAAATCCCACAAAACCGGCTGGTTTGATCAGGATCACGATTTATGATAGTTCAGAACGGCTGAATTTTTTCAATGTGTGAAATTTACTGATAATATGGGACTGCCGGCCATTTAGTGTTTTGAAAACCTTGGGCGCTTTCCATTTACTCAAAATTTCCGGAATTTCCGGTTCGGCGGTAAATGGAACACGTTTCGTCGGTTCGTCCCACTGGAAAATTCCCAGGAAAAGTGGAAAATCTAAAAAGGTGGTCCCGTTTTCTTGGTTGGAATTTCCGAACGGAATCTCGTGTTCCATTTACGTTTCTCGTAGTTTGTACCAGTTCCAGGTCCACGGTCGGGCACCGCCACGTACCGGGGTTTACGACCAAATGGAACAACTTTTTACCAATCGGAAATTCCACTTTTGCTACCACCGAAATTTCCGGGTTTTTTTCCTAAATGGAAAGCGCCCCTTGACCGGCAGTCGAGCTGAAAAAAGTGCTAAGTGTCACAAAACACGGTTTCGTCTTCTGAGCCCAGCGTAGGCCAAACACTAGACTTGAGATCTATAAAGCATTTCAGGATCGCTTGACTTGTCTTAATCGACATATGATAGTTTAGATTAGCTAGAATCTTTCCATTTTGTGAAATTTACTGATACTATGGGACTGCCGGCCATTTAGTGTTTTGAAAACCTTGACCGGTTACCGGCCATATAGCCACACAGCGTTTCATTTAACCAAAGGACGTCTGCCGGGAGGCTAGCGGTCACGGGCAGCCCAAACTCACGTTACGAGGAAAGGCTGTAAAGTAATTTACTTGCCACAGGTGACGCGTGACCTTTCTGCTGGACAGAAGTCTCTTATTTTCAACGGTCGCATGTATTAACTCCTCGTAGAGTGAGTTTGGGCGGCCTGTGGTTACATCACACTAAAAGAGAGGAGATAAAATGTTATCAGTTCCCGGTCGCTGAGCTAAGAGAGGGCTGTGAGGCTTTTTATTCGCGAAATATAAACTTAGGGAAATTTACAGTTTTACCCCCCACCCCCTGCCAGTGAAAGTCATAGTCCATGGTCCATATGTAATACTGCAGTGAAAAAGTGATGAATTACATTCTAGCCCCGGGGGGTAATCCCTTATATAAGCCATATACTGTAGGTATTTGCCGCTCCATAGAGTAGGGTTTTTGCGCCGTTTTCGTCCCGGGTTTTGGTCTGAAAACGGGTATAGACTTCGTCCACTTTGGACTGGTATCGGGTATTGTTTTAGAGGGAACTACGGAGGTGTATGAAGGTATTTATCGTTTCAATTCCAAATGAGTAAGAAAGAAAGAGAAATGTCCAAATTCGAAATGGATTTTAAGAAATCCTTTTTCTTGGTGTTCCAATCTTAGTAGTGGTGACAGTTTCTTAGAAGCCGAGTCTGAACATGGTTGTGAAAAATGATATTTTTTAGTCTGAAATAGGGTTAGGATTTGGAGAACCGGGCGGCACACCCCCACCGAGAATTCGCAGGAGTACCTCCCCCGGGATTTTAACGTGTACTTTACCTGAAAAATCGTAGACGGCAAAGAAGTCCGCATTTTTGTGTATTCAAGTACGCGCGAAATGTGGGTGACTGTCTATCGCCGTGTTCACATCCTTTTCGCGGTTGGTATTAATTTTCGTGCAATCAGTAATTCCAATTTTCTGCTTTTCGATATTTCAAACGGATCAAAAATAAAATCTGAAATCCGGTTTGGAACTGACCTCACTGACCCTGGATTGAATTCGATTTCAAGTAAATGGGTGGTTTCAGGGAAACGAAAAAAAATCATGTAAAGACTAGGAACTGGAAAACAGTTACGATCCATGCACAATGCTACAGTGATAATGATTATATATATAGAATAATCAGAGATATACCTATATTTGACTTATTTCTCACCGTTTCGTGGTGGAGAAGGTATTAAAAGAGAACGCGAAGAAGAAAATACACATTGACTGCAGTGAAAAGATCTAAGTATACAGTAGTCACAGTCGACTCAGCAAAAGCCTGAACAGAATTGTTTTCTGCTTTTAACCTTTTCTTGTAGGCGCTGTTGCAGTGAGTAGGTGTTTCATAGTTTGTACCCGTTCCCCGTTCCCCATTCCCCATTCTCATTTTCCGATTCCCCGTTCCTTGTTTTAAAGATAGCCTTTTAAAAATAGCCGTCTGTAAAGGGCATTTTACTAACAAAAACCAATTTTGATACGCTTGGTCGTTTCCGTGCACCCCCTGAGCCGGCTGTTTTCATAACAGAGATAACCGGCGGAAATACCAGTATTTCTTGTTTGACCTCGTTGATGGACATTGAATAAAAAAGACAGAACATTTATTTTCCAAAGGGAATATGTAAACAGTTACGTTGGCGATGAATTTTGTCTCAGCAAACCTTTGTAAACAGGACTAAACTGACTAAAGATTCGTTGAAATTAAGGATTCAGAGAAAGACACGAATTCCTAGTCTATGCACAGGTGGCTCAAATTAGAAAAATGCGCAAAGATCAATTTGAAATTGATCTCTTCAAAGACTGATTTTTTTAAAATCTGTCCCGCTGCTTTTTAAGTTGTTACGAAATTTCACACCTTGAGACAGATCCTGTAACACAAAGGCACAAAGGATTATTCAACAGTTTGAAATCTTGTAAGATTGTGAACGCTTTTACAGTGACTAAATTGCACCAATTACGATTGGCCTTGATTTCTTCGCGCGCGGCTCGCGGCGCCCCACGCGAGTTAATATCGATCACGTTTTACGTCTCATGTGGGCGGGAGCCGAAAGCTCCTTGAGATTACAAAATTCGAATTCCCCAAGAGATCTCACGTCGCTGTTGCGCACATCGTTTAGGTTTGTTTAACATCTTGTGTAATACAGACCATTTGTCTAAAATAAAGCCATTTTTTGACAACTGTTAATGCTTTGGATCACGGAAAGTCCAGTGTATTGAATTTTTTTTACCGCCCCAAAAACCTAAGCCGCTGACCTTAATGACCCAAGGCATTTTCGCGGTCGTTTTTAGTGAAGTATCACAGAGGACATTCTATCAGTTGGACACGTACCGCGTAGTACACACACAAGACCTGAACAGCGTCGCGAATGAATAGTTTGATACGAATACTAGTTTAGGACAAGAGAAGTTTAACTTTTGCGAAATATTTAAACGACCAACGATGTCTTCCACTGGTGGAAGTAGTATGAATTATTTAGAAGCGAGTTCACCATACAATGGTTGTACAGGTAGCCTTCGTAGTTGCAACTCGACCTCGTCACTGTATCCGCCGTCTTTTAGTGGTTCCGAACAAGTTCACATCAACGATGCCTATGATTATGGAGAGAGCAGCGGTGTAAGTTCCTGTTCAAGTCACGATTACGAAGATTTACAAAGTGTCAGAATAGAGGCTAAAAGCATTTCTGGTCCGAGAAAAAAGACAAACGAGCTTTACGAATCAACAGGAAACTCGAACCCCAGAAAGAAGATAAATGATGTCTATGAGCCTAGTAGGCCGCGGCGCGAGAGACAAATCACTGAATGTTCAGACATTTCAACTGCCTCGTCTACTCTGAGTGACGCTCTCCCATCCAAACATGATACCTGCCTCAGCAAACTGATCCTTTTTCTTATTCTTGCGATTTCTGTGTCTTCATTGATTTTAGTTGGTCTTCTTATGACTGGCAAAGTTTGTCCTAATTGTGGATGCTCACAAGGTATGTCCTGCTTGGAGGAGTCTTATTAAGTTATTGATAGACAGTGTATTTTCACACATATTATTTTCGAAAGTACTATTCTGTAGTCCAAAAGAAATCCTAAAAAAGAATCGCACGTTTGCGTGTAATCATGCCTCGTTATGCTCTGTGATCTTAAAGCAATCTGCGGTTCCAATTTCATTGAAGTGCATACTAACACGTACAAAGTTGTTCTGCGTAGTGTCAAGACTCGGGTGTTATGATTTATATCCAAGCTTGGTTGAAGTCTGAAATGAATGGCTCGGTAGTTCGCGTGGATTTACTCATCCATTCATGAACTTATTCATTGATTCGTTGATTCATTCATTCAGAAAGAATTCGCAAATGTCAATAACGTGTAAGGGATGCTATTTGCGATAGCAAGCCACCGGAAGTATTTGATGAAATGGAACCAACATTCTCACGAATTGCCTTAGAACGGTTAAAAGAAAGAAAGAACAGAATTTTAATTTAAAATTACTTACTGTGTTAATCACTGCGTCGTCTAAAAGTAAACCTCCTTTCTCCTTCTTCCTTTGCCCATCTTCTAGATGAAAATTGCCTCATCCGAAGCTTTTCACTCTTGTGAATCGCCTCGTTACTACATGGGAATCTGAATTGTAAAATTCTATTTGTACTTTTTCAAATGCTTTGTTTAATCCGTGCTTCAAAGACGAGCAAAATGGAATCTTTTGGGCATGTAAAAGGGGCGTTGGTCTTCAAGGTCCTGACACTTAAAATTCTGTTACGTCAAGGGAAGCTAATTGGTCGGTAATATATTGAGTATGGACTATAATTCTTCTTAACGTGAAAAGAGAAAGTATTTGGTATCTAGAAATCCATTGAAAATCAAGAGAAAAATCCATTATTTATCAGGTATCGTGATCCTACTGAGTAAAAGAAATGACCCGTCGATTTTTTTCGCAACGAGGTCACATGTTTAGAATCTATGGTATGACCGCATCCGCCGATCACTTGCAAGCATTCCGGGAAACTTCAAACACCTCGGCTTGGGTGGCGTTCTATTTCTGACGTTATGTCCGTGCCATTTTTTTGCCACACAAAGACCTTTTTACTGTGGTTAATCAGAGATTGTTTACAGTAGGATTAGAGTATTTATTTATTCTCCCTGTCGACCTAATAACAGGTTTTTTGGCATGAATAAATGATTTTAATCATTTTTCCTGCTATCTTACTAGTAGATGTCTGCATACTTTTGTTTATCAGCGATTTATTATTAAGTCGGTCGTTAATTTTTTTGGCGGCAAAGTTTTGGCGGGAATGTCGTGCGCGTTGTGACTGTGTGAATGATTTGGAAAGTTAATTATGTTGTTAATTTTACTGATGTCAGTTGTTTTTAGTGTCCTCAAACTTTTTTGCGCTCCACTTCCAAAGAGAATCTTAACGAACTGCTCGTCGTGTTGTTTTGTTTTTGACTGTAAAGAGTGACTCTGTTTTCAAGTGTTGAACAGGTTTAGTTACTCTCATTACACATAGATGCTTACATCTCACACGCAAATTTCCGAGTTTCCCTGAAAGCGTTTTCCGGGGTCCTGTGGGTTGGAATGGAGAATGTTTATTGTAGCATTTCTGGTATTAATTTCACTCAACAGAGAAGAATCTTCCCGCCCCAGTCGCTGGAGGTAGTGTATCCGTCCAAAGTCTGTTGAGGCAAATTGAAGTCTTGAAAAGTGATCTGCAGAGAATGCAACAAAAAATGGTAAAGCTCTTTTCGTAGAAATTCTTTTAACAAGCACCTTAACTGGGTGGAGAGGATGGCGGGGAAAGTAAAGCACATAAGATGTAATTCAAACCCACAGAATGCAACAGTGTTCTGTTTCTAGTAAATACGAATCGTGTGTGGCCTGGCGTCTGTCTGCATACCGATGAAAACTAATCAAAAAGCCGAAAGGAGAGTTGTCATTAACCTTGTTGTAAATTGCAAGTAGCGTAACTAGTTCTTTACACTGGGTCTCTTGTAAACGGCGACTTTGAACACAGGCCGACCAGCCTTTTTTACGTGTGGTTCTCGTCGTTTACTTCTACCCCCGGTCGAATGACTACATTGCAAAATAAGAAAAAAATCTTCTTAATTGATTTCATGAACGGCAACAGCTACACTCATAAAGGTTGGTCTGCCTGTGGTTTGAAATGTGGACTTGTAAATGAGTCCTTCAGGCATTCGTTCGTGGGTATGCTAAGTTTTAAGTTAAAAACGTGACTACAAATTCGAGCTCATTAAATACCGTGTCCAAATCCACTGCCGGTGGAAACTACTTTCACGACTCATCCTAGGAAGATCGAAGGACCTTTGCTCGCTAGGTTGGTGGAAGCTGACAGCAAACGTCAGTATATTCTTAGGATTTGCAACGCTTTTATGAGCCATCCGTCGGTTCAATCTAATACGAAAAAGTCGCATTCTTATATGACAGCTTTCGGTACACTTGCAGTCTTCGCATCTAATGGCGCCACTTTGTTAGAAACATCTTGTGTACCCTTTTTTATAAAACTGTGATATTATAAGTGCTATTATAGCTGTAATAACTAAACTATAAGAAAAAACCTTGTTTATTATAATTTTTTTGACCCCCCCCCTTTGAGTTTTGTTGATTTTTATTTTGTAGGATGATGGAGATAAAGCCGTGAAAATTTTCTTTGCAAAGAATGAAAACAAGGTTAGTTTCATATTTGGTTTATCGTTATCACTCTTGACCTCAGTGAAAAACAAACCATTCTCGAAATTTAAACTACGCTGGGAAAACGCAACTTCAGTACAAACTTCCACTTTGTTTATAAATAAACGGGAATATGACGGTTAACCATGTATATGACCCTCTGGAAATATCAAGGCCCCCAGTAACAATCAGTCGGCTCTGCTACACGCTTTGAAGTAAAGAACTGGTAGCATTTCAAATAGCTTTTGCCAAACTTGTTTTGGTTTATCGTAAACGACCCTCTCCTTCTTGCCGGGTGTTGACGATTTTTTGTTTTTATAGAAACAATTCGCTGTAAATCAAACTGGTTCAGCTTCTAGTGTGTTTCATTTCAGTTAGATTAAGTTAAATCTGAATTCTCTTTACCTTTCTTGAACTTTTTTTTTAACAGATGGAATTTCTTCAGACGCAACTTTCTGCACAAAATAGGACTGTCAACGAAACAGCAGGCAAGGTAAGCATTCCAACGCAGAGGTGCGACTTGCAGTAGCGATACAGTTGCATAGATTTAAAAAGGGGGCAGGGATGTTGAAACTGCCTGCTTTTGCCAAAGATGTTCGATGAACATCAAGGGTTCTCACTTGGAAGCAATTTTGGTTCCTTTGCTATTTTTTGTTATCAATGAATGTAATCTACATTCTCCCTCTGATTTTCCTGCATTATATTTGTTTTAAGTGGCTTCAAAATGGGTAATTGATTTTTGTTTATATTGTTACAGGTAGAATTTCTTCAAGCGCAACTTTCTACACAACGTCTGATTATCAATGAAACTGCACACAAGGTAAGCGGTCATAGATCGTTATCAGCGATAAGCGCCCAAATGATGATGAAGCAGAATATTTATACTAGTGTAATAACGTGGCAAAGGCTTACTTTGCGAACCAAATTGAACACAATGAATGATTTTCCAGTAATCGAAGATTTAGTTATGCGCACAGGATTATGGGATCGCCAGGGGGCAAACATTGCAAGTCGCTACAAAGAAATGTATGGTGTGGGGCTGTTTCTCCGTTTAAAACCAGTGTCTTTGGACAGGGAATGCCGCATTTTGCCGTGATTTTATGAGAAGCGGAGATGACTAATGTTAGTGCGTTGATTGTAAGTTTTTGTGGGATCAATGCGATGAAATCTATCGATAAACACTCCTTCTTGTGAAAGGTCGACTGTGAAATTTACTGAATGGTCTCGAAATATATAGTACTAACTTACCAGGTATCAATGAGCGGGGAATGTGGACTCATTTATTAAGCCTTTCCAGTTGTAAGTACATGTGCTGATATTTACAACGAGTGTAATTACGTTCGGCTCGGCGGCGATCACAACGCTGTGCCAGTTTGAGACAACGATCGAAGGTAAGCTTATGTATTGTCGAATTTGATATGTACAGTATTAACTTTAAAAGCAAAAACATCTTCCCCACATTGGTATATTGATTCCTTCCAGCCAATAAAACACAAGCGAAATGTTTTGTCGTGATCCAGAGCACCAATGAGTTCTAATGCCTTTTCTGATCATTTTGAGGGAAGATATAGAATCTCTGAATTTCGCACATCAACTTGGTATTTATTTACACACTCACTGCTATTGTATCGGAAATCTTACTCGTTCGTACGATTTCTGCCTCATCTACCAATGGTTAAATACCATGTACTTTCCATGAAATATTTCGTAGATGTTACTTTGTTTATACCAAAGTAAAGGAGGATTTTTTATTTTCATGGCCACGTCCTACGATTGTTGAGCGTCATAACCCGCACTGAGCTGATCGCGGCCGAGCGTAGTTACACTCGTCATAAATATCACCACAGGTAATTAAAACTAAAAAGCTTAAATGAGCCAATCCCCCTACATGTATACCTAAATTTGCACTATATATTTCGAGACCTTTTCTTCATGTGGATCACTGTGTAAATTCAGTAAACATAAATTTCACACTCAACCTCACGCAAGGAGCGTTTATCGATAGAATTTATCGCATCAATCACACAGAAACTTGAAATTTCAACGGACTAACATTAGTCACCTCCGTTTCTCATAAAATCACGGCAAAGTGCGGCATTCTATGTCCAAAGACACTGCTTTTAACGGAGAAACAACTCCACGCCATACAATTCTTTGTAGCAACTCGCAATGTTTGCCCCCTGGCGATCCCAAAACCCTGTGCGCAAAACATGAGTATCCGATTACTGGAAAATCATTCATTGACTTATCCAAACTGATTACGTAATCACTTCTTTTTCATTTCTAATTGACATATCAGATGGTGTCTGCTGTGAATGGTGTGTGGGTAAACATGTCCAGTGCCGACAAAACTATGGAGAACAAGCTTGTCACTGGGCTCAAAGTGCTCAAAACATCGATAAAATCCCTTAATCAGAGCGATGGCAAATTAATCTCAGAAGTGAATGGGCTGACACGAAATCAGATGGATACGAAACGAATGAACAACAGACTGTGGAAGAATATAACACAGCTGGAATCACGTGTCCAGGAACTAGGAAGATCAAGCCGGAATATAAGTAGCAGAGTTTGGAATCTGAAGCGAGGCTACACCCAGATGAACACTTTAATGAAAAGAATTCAAGCAGTTAACGATGCACAGAACTTATCACATACATCACTGCAGACCGTGGTCAAACGCTTAAATGGTTCCCTGATAAACGTTAATGCAACATTGTACAATAAGGTAAGTTTTTATGGCTGATACGCCTTGTAACAGACTAACAACGCGTTTATTCATTCTGTCATTCATATTTTCTTTCTTTCGTTATTACGTTGTCATTTGTAAATTGTTTAAAGAGAAATATATTACCAAAGAATCAAACCATGATGTTTCTCGGTAGACGTTTTTGTTTCAACACAACTGCAGTGAAATATTTAAAGGTGCGTCTGGCAGGGAATATGTACACTAATTAAATTTGAACAAAATGGAAATTTTAAACTTTTGAGTATGGTTGGAGTGCTTTTTTTGCAAATTATTCTGTGGAGGTGCTTGAGGTTATAACTTAAAGTTGCGTTTTTGGTAATTTTCTTTTTTTTCTTTTTTGATGCTGAAGACGTCTGTTTCCAGTGCCGGCAATGCAGGAATAGATATCAGCAAATGTAAGCTCGAGAGAAAAACCGGAACACCAGGATCGGCAGGATCGACCGCTTTCTCTGAAGCAGAATACACCGAACAGACGGTAAGTACACACCTGCATTGGCTTTCTGTGAAATTCAGGGACTATTGTTTGCTTTATGATGAGAATAAATAGGGTCACCTTTCATTGCCCTCGTATTGTTTCATGATGTTTTGCTCCTCAACCTCTTTAAAATAACACGGTGTATTTTCATGGAAGAATTAAGATTAGATGTCTAATCTAGATCTCATGATTTCGTTACGACGAAAAAAGTGAGAATTCAGAGAATGGTTTTTAGACGAAAGACATAGACACTCAGAAACTGAATTATTCACCAAGACAACGCCAGATGGGATTTCGTGGAAAGCGGAGAGAACACGGTTGAACTCTTGATCACTTGCCAGATTATCTCCTCGACTGATAGTTCATTTAATATGCAAAATAACCCTCTTTGGCCCACCAGCGGGGAGAAAAGGATAAAATATGCGCCACGACTAATTTATTCCTGTCCATTTTAATTTTCTTCGTGCTTAATTTAACGAACGATTCTTCTTTTCGCTTCTCTCAGAATAAACGCATTATGGGAATGACATGCACTACAGATAATGCAAGAGAATACAAGCTGATATATGAACGACATAGTTCGTTGTACAAGTGTGAATGTAGGGGCGTGTCGCCATCTCATGCTGGTGCAACAAAGATAACATGTTTCTTATATGTGTGGGAATGTATGATAAGCTGAATGGATTGACCAGTCTAAAGGCCGCTCACCGTTTCCACATCCAAGAATCAAGTCTCACCTGAAAACTGTCTTGAAAATTGTGGAAAAGGACACCCACGCTCCTCCATCCCGCTCACCGTGTCGCCCAGTGTCTCGGCCTCAACCTCTGCTAGTTTGTCAGCCAGTGTGACGACCACTGCCTGCGACAGTTTGCTTTATCAAAGCACGCTTATGATAGAAGTCAAGTTAATTGGAATTCAAATTATTTAGAAGCAGTCAATTGAAACCTATTTAATGCGTAGTATTGTATTTTCAGCAACGAAGACATTCCAAAATCACTCCGTTTTTTACTTTTTTGTTACTAAAAGGCTTCAATTTAGAAGTTTAAATAAGTTATTTCTTTGGGGGAGGTATATTGATTTTATTTTTTCATGAAACTGAAAGTAATAGCAAGGATAAGGCAGCTGATAATCTCTTCAGAATGGAGTATATTGTGCTTGTTTTGGTTTTTGTTTTTTCTTTTTCACTATATCATATTTAATTTCAAACATAGGACGCACATCCGTCCATTCACAAGAATTTGCCCGTTTTACAGAGAAATTGACAAATACCTTCATCGACGAAGCTTCATAGAGCGGATCACATAAAAAAAGTCGACGGTTCAACTTGATCGAGAACAGAAGTAGCGATGAAAAAAGAAATTATTTGAAAATAGTGGCATTTAAAAGGCCATATTTAATATTACCTCTTTGCCTAATAAGGAAGTGTGGAGAGATTTTAATGTAGATTAACATTTATTAATATGGGTATACATAATTGTTATTTCTCATAAATTTCTTAATTTTACAGAATAGCATTGATAACGACACATAATTCTTCAGTTTAAATTAAATCATTAGTTCTGTGATATATTCCTTTATAAATGGCTTATAGTTACTTAAATTTAGGAATTTAATTTTTTAATGTAGCCTGCATTCTTGAAAACTTTCGAACCAGTATGTTGATGTTTGGACAAAATAGAAAGAGCACAAATGTACTCGACAGCAACTCATTAATGCACAATCAGTCAGAACTAGTTTATGAGTATTATCGTTGGAATTAATTCACGGATATTTTCTTGTACATAAGTTGATAATTGTCGAAATTACTATATCAGCGTGATTGTGATAACAAAAAATTTCGTCTTGGGATATTTGTATCTGATATTCAGGAATATTATCGTAGACTCAAATTTGATGTTATTATAATTTGTACAGTTTACTTAACTATTAAAAATAATACTTCCACAGTTTATATATCTTCTATCAAATAAGTTTGGATGTAATAATACATTTTCAAAAAAAAAACTACAGGCGACTTCTTAGTTAAATAAAATCTAAAGGATCAGTCGGGTACTTTTAAAATGTGTGCACACATGTAAAATTGCATTCATGACCCGAATTCCCGGATTAGTCTTTGCCAGTCTTTGGCATTTGAACCTTACAATCAAATGAGGCGTTGACCAATTACACTAACGGCAAGAAAAAAAACCTATTAACTACGAACTTAAGATCTCCACGAATTCATTGAGTATTTATCGACCGCTTTTCGTTTATGTCATTTTCAGCGTTACGGTTTTATCGCATGCAAAGGTCTATCGCCGTCCGTTTAGCTCAGTTTGAAGATTGCCAGTATGCTGAGCGGGAGGGCTATGTCTAACCCCTGTCGGACCAGCAACTAAGGCCTTTAAAAAAACTGGTCAGATCATACTCGCTGTGATTAAAACCTTTTCCAGTTACTGGAAGATGATAGCCTACGTAGTAGGGAGGAAGGGAAAATGGAGGGGGATTGGAAGGAGAAGGGATGAGACACCTGCTATAAGAATCACCCCCTTGCAGCCTCGCAGGCCGCTATTATGCATAATCGGATCACTAGAAAGTTGGTGAGCGTCTCTCTCTTCCTCAGAGGCTCCGCAGAGGTCTCTTGGTATTGTGGGGAAGCTGGGGCGAAAGAAAAAGAAAGCGCGCGGGGCCCTTCTCTTTCCATCGTCCACCGCGCGCTTTCTGTTTTTCGATTATTGCTATCTTTATTGGGATACCAGAAACTCATAAGGGGTTGAAACGTGTAACTCGCGTTCAATGCTCGTGAATATTCACTTTTACCATATTTGGAAACCTTAGTGGCAGATATCCATTTTAAACAAATGGCTGCCACGCGATCACCATGCAGATGTTTTAAGATAAGAATTCTGCATTTTAAGGTTAAAAATACACAGTTAAAAGACAAAAAATTGAAAGAGAAGGTTCAAAAGAATGCTCAGCTTTCTTTTTGTGGAGGAAGGGAAGCTTTTGATCAAGAAATCGTCCTTCGAGGAATTCAACCTTGTTTTCTTTACGACGGAGTGCATGGTCTGTTTTGAAATGCAACCAAGGCAGTGACGTTCTTGCTGAATTTTCAGGAACATTTTGCAAGACAATTACGTTTTTGAAAAGGGAATTTATGTATTTTTAAATGTTTCATAGACGTTTTATAAATTTTTCTCTTGGGCGCTAAAGAAAAATTTCAAAATGTGCCCTGATCTGAGATGGATTTTGTGTTGAACTTGGCCATGTACTCGGCCGATTTCGCTTGCGTGAACGGATCCACGATCCAGATAGTGTTTTCCGAATTGCTTTAAAGGATTAACTTTATGGATTTTGAATAAAAATTTTCAAGAAACGGCTTCTCTGTCTATTGTTTTGAGTTTGTTTATTCATAAAATTAGCTCAAAACACGATCGTGACTAAACATTCAAGCTGAATTTAAGCTTAAATGCCTCTCACGTTCATTACACGCATCACTTTTTGCGAAGATGTCAGGTTCAGGTTTTGGACACTTTCCGATACGCAGCTAATGAATTATATTCGAAAATATTTTTTACTGTTTATTCTAGACTTTTAACATAAGAATTTTCAAAGTTTACTGTGCAGAGGGTCAACGAGGTATCGTTGTTTGCAGTGACAACTTCAAGAAGTTGCGAGGACGTCAATGGGTTTCATAATGTTATGTTTGGCCTGGGTGGTGAGGCAATAATATCCTGCTCAGTGTTTCGGTAAGATTCCTTGTTTCAACCTTTGAAAGCTTTCTCGGCTTTCGGGAGTTTTTCCTCCGTTTGTCGGCCATTTTTTTCAAGCGGGCGCGGGAACCTGAAGTAGAATACGTCACGTTGTTTACGAAGTTTGATTGGTCAGTTATCTCTTCTTCTCGTTCCAAATATAGTACTTTCGAAAATGAATAATCACGAACATCGGACAGAGCAAACATATGAGAATTACACGTTTCAACCGGTTATGAGTTTCTGGGGATACCCAGCGGGAGCCTTTGCTAAAGAGAGAAGGTGGGCGTTACTAAAAAAAACGAGATTTTAACGCAGGCGCTCACTTTCCTTTTTTCAGCCTTTCTCCCTTTCCCCTTCCCCTCTCCTTCACGCAGGCTATTCAGATGGTCGAGTCATTGGGCGGTGACGTAAAGCCATTTACCTTGTCTCCTTCATCGTTACACATCTGACCCCAAATCTCTATCCAGTGGATAGTGCAATTGGTTTCCCTAATAGTTATCCACTGGATATTGATTATTCCGGTGGATAAAGCTATCCAGAGTTTGAACAACCGGGGCCAGCTGCCTCACTACAGAAAGTCTTTGCTAGAAGGTAAATCAAAATAAAACGCATATATGGCAAAGCCAGTCTTAGGCAAATCCGTGCGCTCTGATTGGTTCTTTCTCGGTCGGGATTTTGCTGTACGGACCGTTTCCATGAAAACGGTCGAAGGGTCCAAGCCATGTAGTTTTGTTTTGGAGCAAAGCCGGCAAATTCAAAATTTGCAACCAAAACAGCGAAAAAAAATGTGAATATTGTCATTCTTCATCGCGAAACTACCAGAAAAAAATAAAAACATTGAAATTTTACTGAGATTTCAAAGATGGATGAAGAAGACGAATATTCTCCGAGTGAGGTCAGTATTATTCTGAACATCTGGAGCTTTTGATTCAGAAACTGAAACGGGCATCTCCGAAAGCCAGGAGGCTATAGACGATTTTATCAATCAACAGAAAAGTGCAAACACAAACAAGAAAAAGGTTACTGATGTGATTACTCTTATCCACTACATTGAAGCTAATGGTATGAAAAATGAGAAAATTGAAAGCTTACCTGCGTCCTAGCTTGACCACTATTTGTCGAAATTTGTTTGAACGGACGGTGGAAAAACGGAGAAGAATAAGAGCCAGCGACAGTCTCCAATTTTCAGCCTGGTATAAGCTTACTGCGATACTTAGAAAAAATATCCGTTTAACATATCCAAGGACAATGAGTTCTAAAAATCCAGAAAAGTCCTTGCAGCGAAGCAAAAGTCACTTGTTCTGACACGAGCACGGCAAAGGAAACAAACCGCAAGCTGCTCAGGCCATCGACGAAGACGAAGAGGGTCCCCTTTTTTTAATTATGAATTCAGCGACCCTAATCCAGTTGCGCTTCAAAGAACTGTAAGGTGGTTTTTATACAACACTTCGGTCTCCACCGCTCCAGTTTTTACAGGTGCAAACATAGGATCCATCAGCGGGTGCACATTCTAAATATTTCATGGTAATGTGAAAAATGTCCAGAATGAAAGGAAGCGTCGAATTGTTATTAACAGCGATGAGGACGATTGACTTTGAAGCTATTTTTGTCAACGATGTCCAGTTTTGAATTAATTTTCACATCTTCCAACTTACAGCCTGTTTACATGAAGGTGGGGGACCCCAGATAGGTGAGGTCCCCCGCTTAGGTGCATGTAAAGGAGGGTTATTTAATTACCCCAATCTTACAACGCCGCCATCCTGGCGTACAATGTCTCAAGATTACTGAATGGCTAAGAACGTAAACAAGAAAAAAGCAGGCAAACTACGTTTTTTGGTGATTAATGCTATTCTACACTCACTTGCTGCTCTTGCTGCAACCTTTAGTGCAGTGGCTTTATATTGTTACCTTTAATAATGATGCAAAACTACTGCCAAAGTGAATT